TGAACAATGACTATTGTTTTCTTGAATTTAGTTACCGCTGCGTATTGATTAGATAATAGGTTTGACCTTGGATTTGGATAAGATGTTTTTGTAACAATTTAACACGTTTATGTACCCAATCTTATTATCGACGTCGTGTCATTTTGTACATAAAACCAGAAATATAGATAAGTACCTACACAAATGAAAGTAAAAACATTTGTTTGCTTATTTTATTATGTATATATCAATAGCGGTCAAATTAATATTGCGTAATGTGACGTCATGGTGTCGTCACATTGCAAAACCCACCTGTAAATTATTTATTAAATAAAAGATTATTTTTTGAACCAAAGAGCAGGTCCTAATTATGCTGGTTTTGTATGGAAATAATATTTGGTGTTTGTATGAGAAGTATGTAATTAGAGTACCTTTGAGGAAGTGTGGTGAGCCCCTGGTGGTGTCGTTGCGCGCCTGCAGGGCGTGGTAGACGGCGACGAAGGCGTGGGGCTGGGCGCGCTGGGCGGCGTGGGCGTGGGCGGCGGCCAGCAGCTTGCGCGGCGCTAGGCCCAGCCAGGCGGCGGGGTCCAGCTGCCGCGCCGCGCCCACCGCGCTCACCGCCTCGTCGCAGCTCAGCAGCACCTCCACTATCTCCTGACGGGTGCAAGATCACTTTTACACCCCTATTTCACTGCCTGCTCTAATTATATAAGCAGCCGCAGTCGTAGTCGCACCAGTGGAAGTGATATAATTGTATATATAAATAGCAATCGCGCGCGAATAATCCTTGGTGGAATTATAATTTAAATTTGTGTCATTTACAAAAATCCAAATGAAACTTGATCACATTTTTGCGCTCGTATCAAAGAAAGAGTTTACGTGAATCGATTAGTTGTTAATCAATGTGTGTAATCAATGGCGTGAGGTCGCGACATATCACCTCGCAGAGATAAAGGAATGGCGAATACTAATTGTCTTTAACGATACGGTGTGATAAAATCGTTCTCTTAAACAAGTAAAAGAAAATATGATAAATTGTAAGCCAACGGAACATTACAGTAATTACACTATTTAATGTAGAAACATATTGTCAGTTAACATTTCTTTGAGTGAGAATGAGGTTATATATATGAGTGTGGTTACCTCCCTGGCGCGCAGGCGGTACATCATGTCGAGCGCGAGCTGCGTGGCGGCGGGGTGCAGCCGCGCCAGCGACAGCAGCTGGCACGCCAGCGGGCGCGAGTCGCTCAGTGCGCCGCGCCGCAGCAGCGCCCGCAGCCGGCCCCCCGCCCCGCCCCCGCACGCCAGCGCGCGCACGCACAGCGAGCACGTGCCCGCAGACACTGACAGTCCGTGCCGGCACAGCGACGCCACGTACGCCGTCAGCACCTGACACAACACTCACATTGCATAAAGAATAGATCAAAAGATGCGGTCGGAAACTGTATTTTGTTCATCAATGAACCTGGACAATGTATGGGTTGTCTGCGTGTGGCTGCAGCACTCGCGCGCACACGTCGTGCTGCGCCAGCGCCGCCCCGCGCACCCGCCCCGCACCACCCCCACCCCCGCCCGCAGTGTTGCGCGCCATCTCCACCTCCGCCCACTGTCTGACAGTATCCATCACATTACTATTTCACCCATCACACTTCTAAAAAAAGGACTTATTGCAACTTGACTTAAATGTGAATTCAAAGTGATAAACACGACAGAGAGAAAACATAATGTTAAAAGATGATATGCGTAAGATACCTGTACACAGAGTTAATTTGATCAAAGGCATCTGTAAGTTGCAGCAGGTAGAGGTGCGCGCTGGCAACGAGCTGAGCCAGCAGGCGGTGCACCACGTCCGCACCGCCGCGTCGCCGCAGCAGGCACGACACTATCTTACCTATCTCCTCTTTCTGGATCTGTCACACAACATCATCCACTAAATGTACATGATATGCGAATCCAAATTTGAGAAACACATTGGTACATGGCGGGATTCGAACCGAGCACCTGCAGATTGCAATTTGATTGATCAAGTGCTTAACCTTCAGCTACCGACGATCTTCACAACATGTAAGCCATTTCTTCCAGACTTTTATTATTGGTCGTGTACACAAAACATTGTTACTTTCAGCCTCCGAAAATCTTCTCATAAACTATGCACTGCTCAGGACCACATAGGACACAAAATAATTTTAAATTTTCATGTTGTAAAGTGAGTGTGAGTTGTGTGTATGTATGTATGTATGAGTTACATTGTGGGCGAGTGCTGCAGGCGCTAGACTGAGCCGCCACAGACAGCCGCGACGTGCGTCTATCACGTAGTCAGGCTGGAACATCACCCAGTTGCCCGAGTCTGTGCTCCAGCTCAGGACATGGTTATATTATACAGAGAAACATGTGTCTGACCCCTCTAACCAGAAATTAACATTATTCAATTTAAAACTTATTTCTTACCAGCGATCCCCCGCGACTTCATTAGCACAAAATTTAAAAAAAAAATAGCTTGTAAGATGCCTGCATCAGCTACCTTCCCATCCAAGTTCTATTAAAATTGATGCACCAGTTCCGGTGTTTACCCAGAACAAACACAGTCATGCGGACAGACAGACAAAATAAAAAAAAAATGTTTTTTTCTTTGCCAGCTACGCAAATATATCATGTGTACGAAATATGATTTTTTCTCGATATAACATACAGACATTCCAATTTTATCAATATGTATTGATTGAAAATATCAAATATCAATCTGTTTGAATTTAACAAAGGATACACATAGGACAGGGCTGTTCGTCCACCACAGCCGGCCTCATGGTGTGTGCGGGCACCAGCGGCAGGTGTGTCACCGAGTTGTTCTCCACCTTGCACTCCTCCATTATATCAAACAGTTGGGATGTTTGACTTGACTGGAAATAATATTAAATTACAACAACATACGCCCATAACTTAAAGAGGCAGGCAGAGAATATGGACCTACATCTAGCTCGCTCCTGACACACATGTCTCACTTCTTCTACATTCATACATCTATGCATTTCCTAATGTTTTCAGAGTTTCATGAAACCTCGGGAGCAATTCATCAATCTGAACGGTAATCTAGGACGGGTCCAAACAACACAATACCAACCTGATGGTGAACAGCAATTAGATCATCCACAACACTGAGGGCAAATCTCCCCATGAGTCCAGTCTTCAGCACATGTGTGTAGTTCACACCAGAACCTGACAGCGGCATTAGCCATATCTGGAAAATATAGTGAATAGAAATTAATAAATTATTCAAATAACACTTTTATTTACTGCCCTTGCATCAAATTGAATCCTACCTCAGTTGGTCCAGGTGCTGCAATAGTGGTGAGTGCATGTCGGAAGACAGCACACCATGTCACATCAGCCACTAGCACCATGCACACATCGCGCTCCACCACCGGCCTTGATGACTCCACTGCCAATAAATATATCAATACAATTATTTTCAACTTTACGTATTTATTACTTAACAAGAGGTTGCCCGCGTTTTGTTTTCGTTTTGTCAGCGAAAAAAAACAAGAAGCCTATGATAAGTGCATCAAAATCCTGTCCTATCAAAATTGTTCCAACCATTAGATATTACCCGAAACAAACAAATAACTTGCAAATACACACAGACAGATTAACATATAATCATTTTCATGGTGGTCAATGGATTTTCATTATCAGTTATGTTTTTTTATTATTATATTATATTTGATTTATTCGTCACTTACATATTATTAGTATGTATGTGAATAGATAAAAACACTAACATTCTAACTTCTGCAACTTGACTATGGTGGAGTTGTTGAAGTAGAAGGGCTGCAGAAGGGCTCCATTATTGCCCGCCAGCACCACTATATTGCTCCGTGCACACCATGAGAACCAAGCACCGCTGAAAATTATGATAGAATAACATAGTAGTTTAGTCAGTTAACCCAACTCTTGGTTTGTGTAAGGGTTCTAAACATACAAAATAAAATTATCTCTGAGTATTAGTCTTTTTGTCATTAAAATGGAGCAAAATTTCAGTACTGTATTGAGTATTATTTTAAAACTACCTGAATGAAACACTCTTAAGTGTTTTAAGTTGCTTTTTTTCAGGCAGAACTTGTAATAGCTCTATGCCATGGTCAGTTATAAACGCAATTTCATTTGCTTTAGGCCAAACAAATCCTAATATTTTAGAATTTTTCCACTTGCATGTATGTGAGTACTCCACATTTGTCGGACTTAAGTCTTTAAAGTTTACAAACTCCACTGTGGCACTCTGTCCTTCATTATTACGTTGTATTGCTAAAACTTTCTGGTCCAATGATAATTTTATGGAAATAATTGGGCCTTTATCTTCCATTCGAAACGACGTGCATTTTGATTCATCCATGCTATTGACGGTGACCCCAGTAACTCCACCGGATCGAACCGTAAATACCTAGAATATAAAAAGTATTAAATACCTTAGTCGAGGCTAGCAACTGTAAAAAAATATTATTTCTTACTTGTCCATTGGTATCGTCGAAAAATACGTTCGTAACAGGACTATCAGCGTCAAATCTTTTTGGTTGTTCCGATAACGTTAAATAATAAGGATCACTGTCTTCTAATGAAAATTTAACCATTATTATTAATTTAATTAAAGGTTTATTGCGCAAATATAACTAACATGAAACTTTTACTTTGTTTTGATTGAAATCTGACATTGACACTTCATCAATGTTGCCAATAAATATTTTCACCAGGCCGTCTACATCTGGATAATGTCTGTATGGTCTGTATAACAGAGTTGTCTTATCTTCTATTCAATTCATATTAAAAAAATAAAATTGTTAAAATTGAAGTTTTGTGTAAAAAAACAATACCAATAAATCTTAATAAGATCATAAGTGAGTTTTATTTTCTAATTGATATAATACAGAAAGATTGTTACACTTTGATATGTCTATTTTTGTTTGCTGGCTTTCGTTACTATGACGACAGTATCATTGTTTAAATTTGTATGATCGGAGAAGTATTTCATGATTATTTAATAATAATGACTAAGAATATTGAATTAAAGCACTACTGTATTAAAACTTTTAGTGAAAGTGACTCAGAACAGTACCAGGAAATTGAACAAGATGCTTTAGTTACAGAAACTACATTTTCTACATCGCCGCCATCAAAAGATATCAATGCCTACGATTTCTTCACTCAGCATAATGTAAGAACTAAAGAAAAAAGTAAAGGGAAAAAGAAAAAGGAGAAGAATAATAAGTCCTCTAGTATTATGGATATGATTAATACGGAAATAACTTCTGCGACACCACCGATACGTGAGAACGTTATTGAATTAATAAATCATGACAAAGTACAGAATGTTTATTATAATACTGCTAATTTGAAAATGTTCAAATGGCACCATTCGGATATTGAACGAGGGTGTGTATATTTAATTGATCTATATTATAGGACCATACATTTTACAGTAATTTTCTATAGACGAAAATCCGATCAAAATATATTTCCGTATGTTATGTTGTAACCAACGTGCTTGTCATAAAGCACCTCGCACATATAGAACTCATCTGGAGTTGAAAGCGTCTTTTTCAGTAATATATTGTTTCACTGAGACATAAACTTCACTGACTCCATACAATTAAATAATTATTTCTCTCCATCTTCAAAAATCCTCATTGATAATTTTATGTTTTAGACGAAAATTTATAAATCCTGTCAAACTAAGTCCGACTTTTCCGAAAGTTCTTGAAAATACAAGCATCAAGGAGTTCCCAGTTCATTACTCTGATCCGGTCCTGTTTAATGTTCTGATGGCTGATTACACAGCAGATGATGGCGTACAAGGTCAGAAATTTCTTGACTTTGAAATATTAAATATGAAATTCATTCATCATTATAAATTTTCCTTAGAAACATTACTAATAATGAAGTTAATTGACTATTACAATAAATATTTAACTATTCAAAACGCACTAAAGGAGATACGTAGAAATATTAAAATAAGTAGAGAAACTAAGTACAATTTAAAACAACAGTTACTTAAAATAAGTGACAATAACAAGGATGGTGTAAGATTTGATGTAACTCTTTTAAAATATACTAGTACGTTATTTTATTATAAAGATGCGTACATGGAAACGTTAAAGAAAGAAAAAGAAACAATACACAAAATACTTTCTTTATGGTCCGACGTAGAAATGGTCAGAGACAAAACTAAAAGAACAGAAGTAAATTATTATTTGGAAATCAATAAAATTCCTATAAGTAAAGATGATTACGAAAGAGAATGGAATAATGCATTTGAAATGGAGTATTTGGATATGCTTGATAAAATTGAATTCGATTATGCGAACGCTTACCTCGACTATAAAGAAAATAAGTCTAAATATCATATAAATGGAGTTGAGAAGAAAAGTATAAGTAAACCAAAACTGGTAATAGACGAAGTCAAAATTAAGGCTGACACAGAAAATTTAGTAGATAAAATTCTGGAGAAAGATGACATTGAAATAACTTTAAAAAGTAAGAAACATATAATGAAACCTACTCATGTTTTAGGACCCAATGAATATTATTTCAAGATATACGTAGATGATGTTTTTGTATGTCAATCAGAATTGTTCACTTTTAATGACTTTGTTCACAGTTTGGAATTATCAGAAACATTTTCCGTTCAAATATTACCAAAGAACAAAACTATTATCATCGTTTTGTACGAAAACGACATTCCGGTTTCGTCTATAAATTTGAGTATAGAAGAAATTAAAAAAAACATAACGCAAGCGGATGTTAAATCGTTTAATTTCACTTTTAATGACCATGTTATACCACCAAGCAATAAATACATAGGCAGTGGTTTTAGTATAAAAGAAATAGCAAAAGAAAACAAAGTGAGATTAAAATGTGGGAATTTATTTAAAGATGAATTAAACACAGCTTGCGAAGTTAACATGAAGATAGGTTGGAATGAAAAATTTAACGAAAAAAGTCACGAAGATGTTTTTAATTCAATTAAAATAGAGACACAAATTAAACGCTATTTGAATGACATTGATAAACCGAACATTAACAATTTAATAGAAATAATAAATAATTTATATGATCGTAATATAGAAAATGATGAAAAAGTTGTAAATACTTTAACGAAAATATGTAGAAATAGGGTAAAAAATGAATACGCGTTTGCTATTAATGAAAATAATGATGAAAGTATAAGACTCAGATTATTACATTTAAGAAATAAAGGTCTATTTGTTAATATTGAGAATAAAGTGGTTCCACTGTTCTCTAGTCAAATTTCCACAGAACAACTGAGCACTTTACAGAGGTCCAATCAACCGGTAGACTTACACAACTTTGATGATAATGAAGATATAGATCCAATTGACCTACAAAGATATTTAGGTATAAAATATATTCAAGGATTAAATGAAAATTTGCAAAAAACTGTTAATGAATTTCTTCTACAGAAAACACATCGAGATGTCGTTAAGGATTTTAAAGATTTAACCTTAAGGTATTTATGACACTAAACCATAAAAACTGGATAGATTGATTGTTTTTACCAATCATTTTATTGCAGTTAACAATTTTTTTTTCAGAGGTATATTATCAAACCAAAGTAATTTGATGTCATTGTCGATCTCCTCTCATGTAACGAGAAATCAGATATCGAAGGAGTGTGAATCGGAACAAGAAATCCAAGCGACAGTGTTAAGAGCTTTCAATCTACCAGACAGGGCTGCTGATTTATTGACAGAAACTGATGAAGAAGACATCGAGAGGATTGCTGGTATTCTAAACTCTTTTAATGATTGCTTTTTTAGAAAAAAATTACAAGCGTACTCGTACTATCTATCTAGTACATCATATTCTTTTAGGTTTCAAAGTACGTCAATTACGACCGTACGTAAGATTGAGTTACCACGGCACATCAGCGCAAAGCGCGCCGGGTATTGGCTGCTACCCCTCCTGGAACCAAACCTTGAAGATAAGGACTAAGTAAGGCAGTACTGATTCCCGTAATTTATATTGACAATATTAATAAGACGATACACAATTTAACAGATATATGTTTCAACAAAATATGTATTGAGTTTTAACTTGGCCAGATTCAGTCCATTGTCGTCAATCCACGTGAACGTGTATGATGAGTGCAAAGTAAGCACGAGGTCAGTGCAGGAAGCGGCCGGCAGCACCAGCGACCAGCACCGCTGCGGCCGCTGGCTCGCCAAGCTGGAGCTACCTCTCATCACGGTGCTCAATCAAGGAACGGTAAGTTAAGGAGGGTCTTTTACTTCAAGAATAAATTAGCTATTACAGATTTAATTGCCGCCGTTAGAATCCTTAAATGGTCCTCTTTACATGAAGGGTCTTTCTTAGTGTCTTATAAACGATTGTGTATTTTGTTTGTAGCTCCGTGATACATTTAAATTAACAACACCGCCATTGCTTATCGGCTATGAGAACTCATCCGAACCGAAGGACGCCAGGTCTCTGATACCGCAAGTGAAGAGAATGATAAAGAAAGACGTTTCCTTCCTCGCACTACAAATTACGACAAGTTTGTCGCATCTCGGCGATGTACAAACGTACACGCAACCAATACCAAATGTCTCCAATGATGATAGAACTATCAAACATTTGAATGATTTTCTTACTGGTTATCTAAATGAGTTTCCCTCTAGAAGTATATCTTTAACGTATGTAGGTAGTTCAGGAAAAAATATCTGTGTCACGGAATTCCTTCAACCTTTACCGATACCGGATTTGGAATGGTATCCAAAGAATCCGAAGAGACCGGGATCTGCGCTATCTAAAAGCTCGGGACATTCGAAAACTTCTTCCAAAAGTAGTGGAAAGACAAATGAAACCAGTTCCCCTCTAAAAGAAGACAAAGTGAACGTTTACAGCGGTTTCCATGCGAGTTGGAGAACTGAAGATAATCAGTTATCCAAAGCTTTGAACTTCTGCATAAGATATGTAGCGTTGATACCGACGTACGAAGTCCCAGGACCTCAAATTGTTACGTTAGCAGGAATGGTAAGTTCAGCAAACTATTTATGCATACAAATTTAATATATTTTGTGATCGTGTGCGGAAAGTAAACTGATAATTACTTTAGTGTCAACTCACGATGACATCGCGTGATTTAATTTGACTAGGATCTATACCAGAGCGAAGACATGACTTGTATGGTATTAAAAAAGCTAATTTGCCTTTTCTCAGGAATTGCTACAAGTTGTGAATGGCTCGCCGACTGACCACACAATACTCCTGGGTAGTTACTTCCTTCACCTGGGCATCAAGTGCTGGGTAGTGACAGGTTTAGCTTTACCTCGCGGACTGAGTACATATCTGCTAGTCAAATACGATCTTATTACACGTAAATATACGACAGATGAAGATGAAGTTTACAAAAGTGGAGGATTTTTTAAAAAGAGTGATGATATCGTGTGGCATGTATATGACGCGGTGAGTGGTGAACAGTTCCAATTGAGAGACATAGCTTGTCCTCTCAAGACGGTGTTCTTTGTGTTTGATCAGCGTAATGTAAGTATTTTTGTAGAAATCTTAAACGTTACGTCTACCAACGTCTATAAACTTCATTTTAATTTATATTGATTTTTTTATTTTATTTTGTTATAGATATGGGTCAATATTCAGTCGTCGCAAGACTGTCAGAGTGTTTCCTTTGATTTTTCAAAATCCTCAGATTGGCAACAGGTAAAATAGTGTGAATTAACTTTACATATATTTAGACTATGTTCCTCAGGGCTCGGACTATACTAAAAAAGGTTTGTTTTAAAACATTTATGTTGTAGGTATTTGGCACAGGGAGGGAGTTTGTCAGTGCGCCAGTGAGATGTGTGGGGGAGATGTACCGCGCGCCGAGAGATGTGGGCAGGCTGCAGGACTCGCTCGAGGCCAAGCTGATGGCCAAGGTGCAGAAGTGGCGACCTCGAAACAAAACTGTTTGGAACAGGTTAAAGTTCATTTGAAGAATGCCATTTTTAAGACCTCCAAGTCGAGATATATTTACCGCGTATTGATGATAACGATCTTCTAAAGGGAGAATTTGTAGGTAAATAATAATTGATCAGAGTTAACGATTGTAACCAGATACTGGTGCACGTTGCTGCGGGAGACATTGCCCCAATGGGAGTATTGGTCCTTCGACACGACGGAGCGCAGACCCGAGCCAGGTCACAGGTTGAAACAACTCACGGCTACGTACAAGGTATGTTATTTGTTTTTCTAACACAAACTAATATTTAAAATAAAGATGTGTATTTTTCCACTGTATGTAAGGTCGGTGCACCAGATGTAAGGTAATTTCAGTCGCCATTACTTTCTTTGTCATTTTATCCAATTACTTGTATGGGCTGATATCTAGAGATTTATTTCCAGATGTTCGGGTTTCCTTTGAACATGCATTACATCAACACAAAGTCAGTATTGGCGAATGTAAAGGCGACAGCGGTGCACGTGAACGATGACCCGAACGTAGAATTCGCGCTCGCTGTTCAGATGTTCGCTTACCCTAATAACGTGATCAGTGTGTGGGTTTACTTGGCTAGTATTATCAGGATATAAAGTAAGATGATAAACACTAAAGGTTGTTTTATTTCGTCTACTCCGTCCGCGCGGAATTATAAAAAAAAATTAATGGGTAGCCTATGTGTTCTACAACTGTGCCAAATTTTATCTAGATCCGTTCCGGAGATACCTTCAAACAGACATCCATTCATCCATCAAAATGTTCCCATTTATAATATAGTAAGATCTTTTTGATGGCAATGAACTATAATGAGTTAAGGAATATAAAAGTGAACTTATATATTATTGAATAATTATCTTTTCGGTTGTTCTTGTCCTCGTTGGTATTGTCACTGTAAAGGCACATTCATTGTCAAACAAAATTCTACAGAAGAGCAATATAAAATTTATTCTTTAAATGTCATCGAGGAATCTTATAAAAAAAAAAAAACAATTTCAAATAAAAAATAGAGATTGTATGTCTTTTGTTTTAATGCTAACAAAATAAAATTAACATTTATTTCATCGTAGTATAAAAATATACGTAAAAATAGAAAAAGGAGATGTTACAAGAGTTACGTGTACTAGCGGGGTCCGCCATCTTGTGAAGCCTGACGTTGCTGTCACTGACAATGCGCGCCAACTGGCAATTTGCAGTACCGCCACAACTCTACGCGAACATCGATACTCACTTCACTCATTCATTGCATTATCGAGACTAAATTATACAAGCCTAAAATATCTTCAAATGTTCCATAAATTATATAAGTGATCTTAGACATACAAAACTATACAGAAAGGCCCTTACGTAAATTGCTTCACAGGCATTCGTCAAATTGAAATAAAATAATGGACTTTTAAATTTACTATATTTATTTTTATACAAACGAAAAGACATACAGTAAAAAAAACATAATTTCAAAACAGATAACACTACTCACTCAATATCGAAGTTCGTAATGGCCTGTCTATACATATTTAAATCTTCAACAATTTCATTAAAATCTCAAACTGTCCGCATTTCAAGCTAACGTCAGACTTATGTAAACAAAAGTAAATAACTTATTGCTTTACACGATTGAACGTTAAATTAGTACATAAAAATGTCTATATGTATTACGTTTACTCTCTACAATCAGCCTTTAGTCATAACTTAGTAAGCTAGTAGCCATTCTTGCAAGCAGCAAAGAGCGCCCATTTTACGTTAAATCTACTTCAATCAAATCCTTAGGCACACAAGAAATAATATGACTTAACTTTGGGTCAAATGATATACTTTTAAATATGTCAAGTTTTCATTGCCAAAATAATTTTTAGTTTTTTTTTTCTAATGTTATTTATGGAAAATTGATCTAATGGATTTAAGAATAAACAATAAAAAAGCCCACATCATACAATTTATACTTGATAAAAATATACAATTTCTACTATTTTTCGAACACAAACATAGCATCGTCATGATTTTAAAATTAATATAATTTAATAAATAAGTAAATTACAAAAACCATCAATCACACATAGATCTACTAAAATGTTTTGTTTTTAATTTATTGATGTGTTTAGGCACTTTGTTTACTTGCTACAACACAATTGGTGTTTACGTCAAAACCACATTTATAATGTAACAATGCTTAGTACAGGAATTTTTGTTTCAAAGCAAAAGTATCTTTATTAATATGCATGTGTGTGTTACAAAAATATCACCATTTTTTATGTTGTCTCACGTCTTGTTTGTCGGGATAACATTTTCAATTTAAATTTAACTATACCAAAAATATTAAATCTATGAAACGAACTGAGGATAACTTGCTGCAGTCATAGGTAAGATTTTAAACTTTTCCATATTCTACATACAGGGTGTCATTTGAAACGACTTATGTTGAGAAGAAAAAGAAAATACTGGAATAAATATAATTTATCCCTACACGACTGGCAACACTTGTTAAGAACTGTCAGAGAGGCGGAGCAGAGCGAGTGGTACGGTACTGCAAATCGCGTTACACCATTACTTAGTCGTCGCAAGCTAGCCGTTACCTATGAGCTATGGACTTAGCTGGCAAGCGCTTGCAGCACTTCAAGTTAGCTGCGGGCGTCGTCCGGCTTCTGCTTGGAGCGCTTCAGTTGTTGCAGGTAATGGCGCTGGATGGGCTTGTGCAGCGCCAGCTGGGCTAGTGCGTCGTCGATGGAGAACCACTGGCGTTTCCTACCCATCTGTCGGGAGTCTTCCCACTCGGCTAGTTCTTGGGTGACTGTCATTACATACACCTCCGTACGGTGCTTGTGTTCCCTGTTCTGGAATAGAAATAGCACAAATAAGTTTTATGGTAATAGGAGGAAATTTATTGTGTCATATAGTTTTACCTCATTGTCAAAAACCACTGAAGACTATAAATGGACTGGCTATTAGACATAGTATTTTGTGCCTATTTGATATTCGCCATTTTGGTGTTGAATATAGTGGTTTGTATTGGTGACGTGGATTTGTACTAATATAGATAGAATTAACTGAATATGACTATTAGACTAGCTATTATATCTATAACTTAATCTGTATTAATTAGTGAAGATATGTTTATTGTTTTTACTAATAGATAGTACAATCAGAGTTTTCTTTTCGTTTTCAATTGTTACCGAGTGGAGGTGGCGAGTGATTAGTGAAAAGATTAACAAAAACATTGATATATAAAATATTTATTGCAGTTAAAATAATTTCATATAACAGATATATTTCCTACCTTATTATGGACAATGTTTAAATTTTGTAAATGGATACAAATGTATCAAGTTTCATGTGGTTTAGTTTAGTGGTTACAGTCATATATACATAGAACTGTGGTACAACTGATATGATATGACTTACTTTATTTAATGATAGAGTTTAACTGAATATTGGCAAAAATTAGATATATTGTAAAACTTTTTAATATTGAAATAATAAAAAAGTAATATGTATGGGTACAAAGAAAAGAGAAAAAGTAAAGAAAGATTGAATAGATTATGTGAAATAGGATATGCATAAGGTATCAAGAAATTACAGCTTATAGAGATATATTGAAGGGACATACTGTGCCGACCCTATAAAAAGAAAAGGGCAAATTAATAAATAGCCCTTAGTAACAAAGTATTAATATTATTATATAAGTATTTTACAACAATTTCAATCAGTTCAAACATGTCCAACAGCCAAGTTCCAATGATTGATTTGTGTGACCTTGAATCTAGGAAGGTCATGCAAAATATTTTCAGACAATTGTAGAATTAACACACAAATCACACAAAGTTCAAATTACAATGAATGTTGTATATTATGATGTATTGGCAATGGTACAAAATTGTAATGTTTTGTTTAAAAACATGGAAACATTTGTACCAAACTATACAAAGGGATCTATAGAAATAGAATTACTTCAAAGAAATGCCAATGAAATTTGAAATATTGACATAAGAAAGATCTTGTCAAAAGTTTCACATAAAATTCATAAGGATGGACAAACCTTGCATAACTATAAGAATAATTGTTTGTTTATTTTATTCATAATTCTTTCACTGCAAATAAGTTTTTCTCCGTCAAAATGTTGACCAATTTTTTCTCCATGGGCCAATTGCAGAATTTAAATTTTAGTCATCACTTCACTTGATAATATATGTGGTGAGTTTAAGCAAATTATGCAAAATTTTGAAACTTCTTGCAAAATAATGATTTACTTGAAATATCAAATAACTTTCCCGATTCTTTGTATGAAAATGTCTTAGCTGAAATTTATGCTTATAGCATTACTATTATAACAAATTAATCATTTTTGAGACAGCAAATTTGTCTTAGCAACTTTAGGATGGCTTGATAATAGTTATACTTACAGAATAAATTGCCAGTTATTTTTAAAATTAGAATTTTATATTAGAGAAATAAGTAACTATAACTTTCAGAATACACTTAGGATTCATTCAAACAGAAAAAAAATAACAGCATGGTCAACTATAACAGTGTTCAAACAAGACTGACATTTTGACATAAAACATCTGTCAAACGAAAGTGTTGAAATTCTGACCTCAAAAACGCCCAGGCAGCGGCCTAGCTTGCCGATGACGCCGGCTTCTTCCAGCACCTCGCGCATGGCCGTCACCGAGGGTTCCTCCTCGGGTTCCACGCCGCCACCCGGCACGATCCAGTTGTCCGGCCGCCGCGACGACGTCACCAGCAGCACCTGCGCCGACAGACCACGCCGCATTACTCACACACTTTACTTCTCAAACATCTAACAGTGCGCTCCATCACTAACCTCAGTTTCGGCGTCCGATCGTACACATATACAAGCGGCGCGTCGTCGGAATCCTTCGTCGTCGTAAATACGAATAGAATTAGGCTTCTCCTTAACCATTTCGAGTAAACACGTAAACGCGAACAAAACAGACGATCACAAACGAAAAGCAGACATTAAGTAGAAAGAAAATGATCAACTGAACGTAATTTTTTAATGATCAACAAACGCCATAATTGAGATATCCTAAGATTAATGTATCCATTTTTGACTAATTTATGAGTTACACAATATACATGTAAAACGAAACTATAATAACAATAAAACTACAATTAGAGCAATATTTCAGCTACAACTAGCTTTTGATCGCGTATTTCAAGCCCATGTTGAATGGTGCCTGACGTTTTCTCTGTGCGAAAATCGAAATTGGTTTTGGTTGGAAAGCAATTACGAAGAGTCTATCAGCTGACAGCCGGAAGTCAAAATAAATGTTGCCACATATCAACTACGTTTTTGATGTCATAAAATACATTTTACACCACATCTTCCTCTTCTAAATGATAAAAAACGTTAAAATGTTTTTTCTGAGGTTTGTAAAGTAAAGTATCATTTCTAAAATCTTTAAAATTATCAAAATTAAAAAATGTTAAACTTTCTTGCCTAAAACAAAAATGAAAACGGTGCGTCATGCTTATAAACTGTTTTTTTACATTCAAAGTCAAAGTATATTCAAACAAGAATGTCTGAACTGGTGAAAGAGGCGTTGATGTCACGGTTTATTTTATCAGAATATATACATAAAATCTACTTAGACATTGAAAATGTCATAAAAGAACAACAGACAGGTACAGCAGTGTAAAAAGGACATTGTAGCTTTTTGGCGATGACAGGGGGCGTTAGTGGGCTATCATAATTTAGTTTGGCTTATGCGGTTGGTAAAGGTGGTGAGGATTCGAGCTGAATAATAAAGGTATAATTAATTGGCGGGAACATTAACAGGCAAGTGTAAGTCAAAAGCTGTCATTTCCGAGCAATGACTTATCCATTTATCGAGGACAGTGGGTTATAATGTGTGTATGGGCCGGATAAGCGACCACCATGGTAGCATGACCGCTGGCAGTGTATTTGAAGCTCTTGTACTAGATGTCGTTACCAGTCTCTAATTGCTTGTTTCTTTTGGTGTAGCGAGGATACTTTAAAGATAAAGTATGATATAAGAAAATGTATTACAATTAAAAAATAAAATTAATAAAGTAATGTTACTATTATGTATATGATAAGTATTAGTAAAATCTTGGTAGCTTTAAATGATAAGTGAAAAAGAATTGCTTAGGAATAAATAAACACATACGTTGTGGAATGGCACATGTTAATCGGTACATCTTTAAAATCTGTAGCTCTTTTGTCTTCAACACTTCTTAGATTTGCTGGAGCATAAAATTATTCAAAGCAATCTTTGGGAAGGGTTTATCTCAACAATGCGAGTACATCGTGTCCCACATTCGGAACAATAGTGTCATATTGTCCATGAATATAAATCAGGATTGCCGCTCGTTGGAGATAAGGCGCCACTTGGCAGCGATGCGCGGCCCACTTCGCGCGCTGCCAAATTGCCTGCCCATCGCCCTCACTCGCCGCGGTAACTTTGTTAACTAAGCTACAGATTATCAAGCTAGTAGCTTAACTAGCCACGGACCTTGGCCAAAAACGAAAGCTTTACTTCGTTGGAGCTTTTGAAATAATCGGTGGTCATATCAATACGCGGAAACGCAGTATACAAAAGGATTTAAAATTTAACACGTTATTAAAGTGTATCTAAAATTACGCTTAGTTTTGTCGAATAAAGTCCCTGGAGATAGTAGGATAGGTAGGTTATTATACAAGCAAAAAAAGATGCAAGGATCTGACACACCTATCTCGCTTCATAAAATATAAAAAAAAAATTACCGCGTTTATACAAGGGTTTAACATAACATTTAACGATAAATGGTAAAGTTAACTAAGGATCTTAATTTATAAATGGCAATTCATAAATACGGAGGGGTTAAAATTTAATTTAATACTTATAACAATTCTCGTCAGAAACGTTGTGTAATAATTGCCGTTATTAAAATACAAGGAAGGAATTGTTATTAAGTCTTGGTAGAGATCGTGATAAAATTATGATCTTACAAAATTGGATTTCGTAGGTTTAAGCATATAAAACCAAAATTTTATTTAATGTAATCATTTGAGTTTAAATAGTAACGTACTAAATTTAAAACAACAAAAAGCAACACTGTGGTCTCAACAGCACCAAAATAACAATAAATTAGTACTATTGGTCTAAGCTGTAATGATACTAATTAATCTAAAATTAACTTGTAACAGCATTGTATGTGGTGCAACATTAGTTGGTAGTTTCCGTAACACCCCCGGACCAAAGTCAGTAGTCAGCGAGATTCGTGACTGCGAACCGCCCTCTGCCCCCGCTCCTCGCAGCCTGAGGGCTCGCGACCAAACAAATAAAATGCAAACGAGCCGAGATCTGGAATATAACATCCTGCATCTTTACATTAATGTCGATGAACAACAAGATAACTCTAGTGATGTTAACGTCGTCTATCAATGAACTGCATACAAATGCAATTAGCGACGGAGGTAAATTAAATTTCTAATAATATGAAATGATAAGAGAAAGACCTACCGGCTTTTTTAGTTAAGTAACAATGATATATTGTGTAGTAGTTTTGTAGTTAAGTAACAATGACTTAGGTCTTGATCGACTGTTTAAAGATCCAACTTGAAGAGCTACTTGCATTTTAGGAATATGTTTAACTTTATATTCGTAAACTGTAAGTAACTTGATATATCGATATGAATTTTACAAATCTGGAACATCACTAGTGGATCTAGATTTACGGCGTCGTCGCGAGCATGTCGTGGCGCTCTGTGACGTATTTTATTTTATTTAAATTCGTTCAAGATTCCCGCATCTCTCCGGCAACAGATACTACCTTACTGACTCCATGCCGATACAGTGTACACGACTGTTTGCGATGTAAACTTTGACCTGAGAGAGTTAACATAACTTGTATATTGTAACTCAATCAGGCTGGAAATTGTAGTCTACTGTTGGAATAACACATCTCTAATACATGCATACTATGAAGTAGTTACATACTCTTTGTAACACATAAGGTTCTATGAAAATACAACTTGCAGTTAGTAAAAAGTGCATTGTTCATTCGAGTATGCTTATAAAAGTACATCGGCTGTATATATTTTATATTGCTCTTATAAAACATTTGTAAAGTTCATAACACTTCCTAGAACTATTGCATAGACTATACACGACTACGAAGAAGTGTAAATGTCAAACATTTGACACTGGAACAATTTTAGTGTTGCCAAATAATTACAGAGAGGTACAGCTTTGATTTCGTCGTTAAAAGATGTATCGAACTTTGCCAAACCGATAGCATCCCAGGACCTCCTGGGATGTTATCGGTTTGGCATTCAAGATAAGAATGTCTGTGAAATTAATACCGTACAGATTTCATCACTAAAGTATGGTATGCATCAGTTAGATTACAAAATAGTGCGCAGTGATGACAGGCCTAGGTCTGACTGTTGTGTTGTCTCTCTTGGGTCTGAGTTACAATTATTATAGTTGAATTTAAACTAGTGAATTTTTAGAGTTTCTATAGGTTTTCAATTGTAGTGTTTGTTAGATCCAAGCAGTTAAATAAAAAAAACTGTGGAACAATTTATTTTAGTTATCGTCAGTTTTCGTTGAATATTATTAATAACCTCTTTATAAATTATATTCAACTTGTTTTAATCCTGTTCCCTGAGGGCGAGGGACGTTGCGATGAAATATTGTTGACATTTTTCAGGGATTATCCTCCCCCTCCTTTTGCCCTCCGCCCCCTTCCCCTTGCTTCCCCGGCACCTGCGAGATGAGGGATAGTTGTAACGAGGTGTTTCTGTTTGCCGACGGTAAGCCTTGGGGAGTTAATTTTGTTTGCTACTTTGGGGCCGGTGATTTTAATATAAGGAAGTCCAACTGAGAAAAATATGGCAATTTATTTTATGAAATATTCTTGCCTGTTTTTTATTTGACGGCAATATGATTTGTAAAAACTGGTATAAAAATTATTAGGATCGAAAAATTATGTTATGTTACTATTGTGCTTTTTTGTATAAAATTGTTCCAAAGTGAATAAGAGGGATAAGTAAACGTTTTTACAAAAGTGTTTCTCCAGTGAAAATCCACGCTTAGGAGTATAAGCTCTAAACATACCGCGCTGGTGTCAAGAGTCGTTACTGCGAACCGCCGCCGATTGGCAACGCTCCTCACTTTCCACGAAGCGGGCGCAGCTTTTGTCGCCTGTCAACGATCTATTTTTTATTGAACGGCAAATCTTGATCAAAGGCCAATTATACAGTACTGATTGTTGAACAAACTCATAAGTATATAAGTTAAAACAGTGAGCATATTCCTGATATTTATATAACTAAAATATTAAGTTTTCTATTTAGAAAACGAGGCATAGAATATAAAATATCATCGTCTCAACGGCAATAAATATATCTACAGTATTTACAACATATAATTTTTTTAAAGACAGATTTTAATTTAAAATTTGTTCTGTAACACATCTTCCCCTATAAAACTATCTGACCTTACAAAAATTATATTCAAATAATGACTGGCCAAGTATAATCTGGGTTAGTCCAGTGAGAAAAAAAAAATCTTACAAAGCAATGTTCGGCCAGCACAGTCGCGGACAAAACGCATCGCCACAGATAACATAATAATCTGGGCGATTAGAAACGGTGCGGCCACAGATAATGGTGATGTTCATTTCTATTGTGACGGCACAATATTACAGTTTTTTTGTCTGTGCGATTGAAACATTTTAATAAACGATTTTGTGTTACGGTATAAATAAAAAGAGATAGCGGGAACACGTGAATTAAATTATTATTTAAGATTTTTAAATATCCATCTATAAGTTTTCAAATAGAGCGGGAATTACAATCAAGAGCAACACAGTATGTAAACATTTTCTAAAAAAGAAGATATTTGTCCGTACTAGTATATAAACGAAGACTGCATTAAAACTTAAAAAAATGAACAGAAATCAAGTATTTTGTGAGCTAATTCAAGCAACAGACCACTGGTACTGCTTCCGTTCAAATTATAGATTCAAACATAATTGCGAAGCTTAAAGTAAATGCATTGTAAATTGTGAAGCTGGCAGCGAGTAACGTTTAGGTGCGTTTGATTTGATACGCCGCGCCGCCGTGCACTCTAGCATTGCCATGACAACGCACTATTCGGCCACACAGATTTAACTTTGAACATTTGAATTTGTATGCACCTTTGCTATGAACGTGTCAATACATGTACGCTGTAATTATAACATCAATTATAAATTGTAAGTGATGAGAAATAATTACTGTAGTCATTCATCTA